CACTACTACTACTACTACTACTACTATTACGACGACTACTACTACTACTACTACACTACGACTACGACTCATACTGCTACTACTACTACTACTACTACTACTACGACGGTCACTGCTACCACTCGTAGTAGTAGTAGTAGTAGTTTTAGTAGCAGTAGTTGTAGTAGTAGTAGTAATTTTAGTAGTAGTCGCAGTAGTAGTAGTAGTAGTACTACTACTACTACTACTACCACTGCTACTGCTACGAGTACTACTACCACCACCACCACTACGACTACTACCACTTCTACGACTTCTACGACTACTACTAGTACTACTACTACTACTACTACTACTACTACTACTACTACTACTTCTACTACTTCTACTACTTCTATTTCTACTTATACTTCTTCTTTTTCTGCTAGCACGATGCTGCTATTGCAGTTGCTACTACTACGATTACTGCTATTGCTACTGCATCTGCTAGTGCTCGCGCACTGCCGCCGCACCCCAGGGTCTGCGGTGCTTGCGCGCGCTGCGTTCCAGGCATGGCGGGGGTTCGCAAGCGCTGTGGCCTTTTCCAGCTGTGTGGCGTGCGCAGACGATGTGTACTTACAGGTGCTGTGGTGTTCGCAGGCGTTGTGTTCACATGCGCTTTGATGTTCACAGGCGCCGAGGTGTTCACGGACGGTGTCCTCTTGGAGGAGGAGGAGGAGGAGGAGGAGGAGGAGGAGGGAGAGGGCGGGAGGAGGAGGAGGAGGAAGAGGAGGAGGCAGCCATCACGGATAGTTCTAGTGTGCAACCTTTTCGAACCATCGAGTGTCCAACCTTCCCGAATCATCCTGCCATTCCTCCTCATTCGCTAAGAATGACACAAACATAAAAATAAAAATTCAGAGGTCCGCGCGGATTGCTCGGATCGGCGCTTTGGCCCCTTAAGATTGGCGGCGCCTCCGGCGCCGCCCCTGGCGCGCTCCGCGCGCCAGGGGGGGGTCCAGAGCGGATTCCAGAAATCCACGCGGATCTCAGAGTTGTGATGTTTATGTCATCTTCTTTTCCCCTACATAGTGTTCCCCATTCTGGTCTTCTGCATGGCTTCCCTCAAGGTGTCCCGTACGGTCTTCCGTATGGTCTCCCGTGCAGTCTCCCGCATGCTCTCCCGTATGGGTTCCCAGAAATGGCTGGGGCCCACGGTTCTCTTTTAGTTGGCTTACCCCCAGAATCGACTTGAAACGGGCTGGCCATATGATTTTGCGATGGAAACTCGAGGTAAAGTTTCATTCGGCTTGGAACAAAATTCGTTTCGCGCGTGCCCGCTCGAGGAAATTGTGGCCCCCATGTCGGATCCTCGTTGCCTAACGAGGTCCGCAGACCCCCGCTTTCCATTGTACAAAAGAGCTGTTTTTTGGGGCCTGTTGGAGAGGCCTCTTGGGACCTGATGTTTTTTTTTGTTTTTGTCATGGGCTCTTGGCGTTTTGAGGCAACGCTGGGCCATGTCTGTGGCCAGTGGGATTTTTTTTGGGGCCGTCGTGGCAGTCTTGGCGTTTCTCGGAGAGCCCCATGGGGGGCGCCTGGGCGCCCAGGGATCCTCGACGTCAGTCGCTTTTCCATGAACGTGTTGCCCCTCTTGCGCCTCTCGGGCCCTTCGTGTGCGCAAGGCCGGGACCGGGCAGGCATGCATGGTCGCACCCAACCAGTGCGCACCCTCGCACGCAAAGCACGGGAGGGAGGCCTCTCTGGCCGCACCCCGAGAATGCTGTGCAGACCCTCCTCCGCGGCTGTTCTGCTCGAGGCATCTCTGCTCACGCAGCTGTGGCTTGCGAGGCGGGCCCCAGGCCACCCCGAGCAGCCCGTCGTCCAACCCCCCGCCCCCCAGAGGGCTGGCCATGTCGCACGCTCGCCGCGGTGTCCTCCTCTGCCTCGCGCTGCTGCTGGCCGCGGGCGCGGCCGAGAGCGACAGCTGCGACGGCGGCGGCAGCGAGGAGGCCGCCCTGCTGCAGCACGCGGCGGTGCAGAACGGCCAGCAGCAGCCCCAGCTGGACTGCTCGGCGGAAAAGCCGAACAACATGGTCGCGTCGGGGGAGAAGACGACCGCACCCTGCTGCTGCTGGTGGTGGAACAACGTGCCCGACTCGGAGAAGACCTGCCAGAATTGTGGCAACTGCGTCACGTCGACTCCCCAGGCGAACTGCCATGGTGGAGAGTCTTGCTCCCTGTGGTGCCCTAATGGTGACGAGTAGTCGTGGTGGGGATGGCCGCATGCAGCCCCGACTAGCTGGGCGCACATCTCATTAGTTCGATAGTTTCGCTCACCCGGCGCGATGCCGCTGCGGCTCTGGGCTCCACTTTTGAAGAGCGGTGCGCTTGAACGAGGGGGATGGAGGTTGAGGGTGCGGATGGTGGAACAGGAGGATGGCGTGATGCAGCTGAGCTCAAAGCAGAGTAGCTGGTGCGTGGTCACCTTCCCCTGCGCGGCGATGCCGAGCCGCGGGGGGGGACAGAGGATGACGCGCCAGCTTCGGCCCAGACGCGTGGCCGCGCCACCAGCGACGCACAGAAAACATACCATTATCCGAGCGCGGGGCCCAATCATGCGCTGGCGCGAGTGCCGCCGGGCAGGTGGACCGACGGAGGGGCAAACCCTTATGTGGGGCCACAGCGCGCGAGGAGTGTGCCGTAATGGTTGCGGGGCCGCCATGAGGACCCTGCCGCTGGGGCCTTCGGTGGAGCTCCCTATGGGCCACGGAACGTGTGAGGGTGCGTGCCGAAATGAGTGCGGGGCAGCCTTGCGGACATTGCCGCTGGGGCTTTCGGTGGAGCTTCTTGTGCGGCCACGAAGCGCGCGAGGGGCGTTCAAAATTGATGATTGGCCGCCTTGCGGACCCTGCCGCTGGGGCCTTCGGTGGAGCTCCCTGTGGGGCCACGGAACGTGTGAGGGGTGGGCCGAAATGGGCTTGGGGCCGCCATGCGGAGCCTTCCGCTGGGGCCTTCGGTGGAGCTCCCATTGAGGTGCCATGAAATGCGTGAGGGGTGAGCCGAAGTCGGTGCGGGGCCGCCATGAGGACCCTGCCGCTGGGGCCTTCGGTGGAGCTCCCTATGGGGCCACGAAGCGTGTGAGGGGTATGCCGAAATGAGTGCGTGGCCGCCTTGCGGACCCTGCCGCCGGGCCCTTCGGTGGAGTTTGTTTGTGCGGCCACGAAGCGCGTGAAGAGTATGCCGAAACGGATGTTTGGCCTCCTTGCGGAGCCTGCTGCTGGGGCCTTCGGTGCAGCTTCGTATGGGGCCACGAGACGTGTGAGGGCGGAGCGGCCTTGCGGACCCTGCCGCTGGGCCCTTCGGTGGAGTTTCTTGTGCGGCCACGAAGCGGGTGAGGGGCATGCCGAAACAGATGTTTGGCCTCTCTGCGGAGCCTGCTGCTGGAGCTTTCGGTCGAGCTCCACGTGCAGCCACGAGACGTGTGAGGGGTGTGCCGAAATGGGCGCGGGGGCCACGAAACGCTGTACGGGGCAGGCGAGAATGCCAACTTGGGCTTCCGGGGCGCATGCGGACGGTCCCACTGGGGGCTGGGGCCACGAAGCGCTGTATTGGGTGGGTGAACATGCCAAATTGGGCTTCCAGAGCGCATGCGGACGGTCCCACTGGGGGCTTCTGTGGGGCTCCCTATAGGGCCACGAAACGGTATACTGGGTGGGTGGAAATGCCAAATTGGGCTTCTGGGTCGCACGCGGACGGTCCCATTGGGGGTTTCGGTGGAGTTTCTTATGGGGCCACGAAACGTTGTACTGGGTGAGTGAAAATGCCAAATCGAGTTTACAGGACGCGGTCACACTGGGGGCCTCGGTGGAGCCCTTTCTGGGGCCACGAAGCGCTGTACTGGGTGGGTGAAAATTCCAAACTGGGTTTCCGGGACGCATGCGGACGGTCCCACTGGGGGCTTCGGTGGAGCTCCCTATGGGGCCACGAAGCGCTGTAGTGGGTGGGTGAAAATGCGGCAACGATGCCGCCGCGGGTGGAAATTGGCGGCAACGCGGCGAATCCTCGGCATATTGCCTTATCTTCTGTTTGGTCGAGCCCCATCTAAAGTTTAACACGGGCCGGGTGTGAACCAAGCTTGCCGAACACGCGTTTTTGTTGCGGCTTCCCAGTGTTATTGACACATCGTACTGTCTCACACCAACAAAACTAAGGAACGTCAATGTTTTGGTCTCTCGGGGGCCCTTTGGAGGGTTTCTTAGGGCTCTCTTGCGGCATCTTGGAGGCCTCTTGGGCGGGCCATCTTGAGGCCAGCTTGGGCATCTTCGATCTCTTGAGCCTACTCGGGGCCTTCTTGGACGGTCTGTGGGGCCTCCTGGAATCGTCTTGACCTGTCTTGGGGCGCTTTGGCTCGTTTTCGTTTCCCGAGAGCTCGCCCAGCGCTCGCTGACACACTCCAAGAGTTGTTGGCACAGGGGGGTGGCGGGCCCCTTGAAATCCTACAAACCCGTATCCACGCACAAGTAGGGGGCCACATGCGAACCTTGCCCCTACCCCCCACGATTTCTGAGGGGGAGGGTGGGGTTCGTTCGAGAGCTCCCGAGCGAAGTGAACTCCACCCTCCCCCTCCCAAATGGTGGGGGGTAGGGGTAGTAGGGTTCGCATGTGGCCCCCTAACAAGTGTATGCGCCTTGGGGCACTCCACGACGTGCTGCAGGCACGGTGGCGGATAGTGGCCCTGACTCGCTCTCGGCACCCAGGACGGCAAGATTGCTGAGAACCCCCGAGAGAACCTGGGCCCCGCGTCCTTTTCTTGGCACAGGTGGTCCAGCACAGGTCGGCTCCGATGATCTTTGCCGGGAGGTGCAAATCAACAAGGGCCTCGCCGTCTCCATGCGGACCCCGTATCGGTCAACGGTGACTTTGTCATGGTTTTGGTTACGGGTTCTCGGCTCTGGCTTTGTCACACTTTGTCAGGCTCAAGAAACTGTTTATAGCAGGGCGGAGCGGGTGGGCGCGCCCCCAGGGCTGAGCTGGTCTCGAGCATGGCGACGATCAGCACGCCGCTGACTGCGCTGCTCGGGATCAAGCACCCGGTCATGCTGGCAGGCATGAACGGCGTCTCCCATTCCGACCTGGCCGCTGCGGTCAGCAACGCTGGCGGCATCGGGTCGATCGGGGGCCTCACGATGACCCCGAAGGTGCTGAAGCAGGATACCTAGGCGTTTGTTTCGGGGGCCTTTCTGTGGCCCTCCTGATCTGTTCGACTCGGGCCCGACGCAAGTTCGACCCCAGTTCGGCTCGAGCCGACGGACCTTCGACGCGGCATCGACGCATTGCCTTAGTGGAGCGGGTGGCTCCAGAATGGTCTCCAGAACGCGCATCTGTTGAAGAAGAAGCAAATGGCATAAACATAAACTTGTGGCGCTCCTCGCGGATTTTGTTGGATCTGCGTTGGGCAGGAGATCCAAGAAGTTCGCGCGGAGTGCCACACATTTATGTTGATGACATGTTTTCTTCTTCTCATCTGAGGAGATAGACTTCTTGAGGAAAGAGCTGGACGACAAGGCCGCACCGTTCGGAGTGGACCTGGCCATCCCGCAGATCGGCGGCGGCGCGCGCAAGACGAACCACGACTACACGCACGGGCACCTCCCCGAGCTGATCGACATCATCGTGCAGGAGAAGGCCAAGCTGTTCATCTGTGCCATAGGTCATCGAGAATAACCCCAACAACACTCAGAGGAGGAAAAGGTACCCATAGCCCTACCCCTCCTTCGTTTTCCACTTTCTTGGCCTCCTGGCAGGCCCTTGTCGCCACCTCTGGATTCGCCTCGACGTCCTGGTCAGAACGCGCCCCCTCCCAGGAGTACGTAGCCGTATTGATACCTCCTGGTGTCCCTAGTGAAGACGTGGCCTCACGTAAGTCCCCGCCTGTGTATCAGGGGTCATAGATCTGGGCGGTTTAGCGGGAGACGTCTACAGAACAGACTCCTTATCCCTGATGTTGTTGACCCTCCTGCCTCAGGTCCCCCACAGGGTGAGGGGTCTCGGCGTCAACCCAACATACTTATAATACTATATGTGCGTCGCCCCCCCAGGGGCGCCGCGCGCACCGAGAAATCTTATAGTACCTGCGTCGTGGCAGGCGCTTTCTGGCCACACCGCATGGGTATACTAACTGTTCGGGCCGGACGCGCCTCTCCGAGGAGGACACATGGTATTAGTATGTCTCTGTGCTTCCTAGTCTTTTTTGGGGCCAACCGACAGGGGTGCCCCCGCCGTGGGCGGTGGAGAAGCTCCACGCCGGCGGCGTCGTGGTGGCGAACATCTGCGGGCGCTGCCAGAGGGGTCCCTGGCCACGGGTGTCCCCCCAGGAGCCCCGGGGGGAGCCCCCCCCCGGGGAGCGACACTCCAACTCACCATCATCATCATCAGCATCATCAGCATCATCATCAGCAGCATCATCATCATCATCAGCAGCATCATCATCACCATCACCATCACCATCACCATCACCATCACCATCACCATCATCATCATCATCATCATCATCATCATCATCATCATCATCATCATCATCATCATCATCATCTTCATCTTCATCTTCATCATCATCACCATCACCATCACCATCACCATCACCATCATCATCATCAGCATCATCATCAGCAGCATCATCAACATCATCGTCATAGGGGGGACTGGCATAGGAGGGCGCATCGACCTGGCATCGGCGATGCATCGCCGACAGATCGGCGATGGGCTCCAGGAAGTGAATACGCACCTCCCTGGGCGGGTTGGGGCCATCAGGCCCTTATCGGCGATCCATGGGCGATTGGGGGTCGATGCATCACCCCCTATGCCTATCCCCCCCTATCGTTCCCCCTTGGGTGAGAAGGGGGAGGACTTCTCAGAAAGCGGCGGGGCTTCTCAAAGGCCCTCTGGCCTTCTGAGAAGTTTTTTCTGCCCTCGTGGGGGGCTTACTTCTCGGAAGGCGGGGGGACTTCTGAGCCTTCTGAGAAGGCCCGCCCCTTCTCACTTCCTCCCCCGCGCTCGCCGCCGAGCTCTGGAGGGCACCTGGGCGACGAAAAGAAACGGGCCTTACGCAAGATGACGTAGCGGCCTTACGCCGCGGCCTACGCGGGCCGCCAGCGCGGCACACCGCGTGGAAAAGAGAGCGCCGACGCGCGACCTCACGCGGGAAGCTTACCCGTCGGTCGGAAGAAGTGTGTAAAAACGTGAAGTAGGAAGGCGTTGGAACAAGATTGGGCCTCCGCCCGCCCCCTGAGGAGGGAAGGGGGAAAACCGTCCGACCCTTAAAGCAGGAAGGCGCTGGAATAGAGTGTGATCTAGAGATCCAAGAATATACCTACTTTAGATCCTGGCCAGCCACGCCCTGCAGGATCCTGCAAGATCCTGATCCTGCGGGATCCTGCCTGCACCCAACCCTGAGATCCGACATTGCCAAAAATTTGCAACGTCGCCAAAAATCACGACCAGACCCCCGGACCCCATCTTCCTGCGTCATGTTTCGAGCCGGATCGATCTGTGAGGGTCCCGGGGGCCCGAAATGGAGCGAAAACGCCCAGCTCGAAAAAATTGAGTCGCCAGGATCTCAGGGAAACCCGGGTCCATGCACCCCTGGCCCTGCAGGATCCTGCAAGATCCGGCGCCCTGACCCCCGATTGCACCGACCCCCGTCTCTTGCGCCCCGAGTTCGCAGGCCTGGAGGTTGACACCAACACCAATATCGGCGGTGTGCTTCCACCGAGGGATGGCCGATCTCGGTGATGGCGGCAACCTTCGGGCTTCCCGGGTGGCCGAGAGGTTACCACCAGCACCAAAATCTGGGAGCACCTTGCCCAGGTGGAGGCAAGCCGCCGTGTTCGAAGGGGCCCCGGGACACACACGAATAGATACACACAAATAAAAAGGATTCCCCATATGTCCCCATGCTCCCTGGGTTTCTGCCTCCGCCCCCCCCCCACAGCCCACATTTCCCCACATCTTTGGGGGGGGAACCGACGATGAGTGGCGTCCGTGTGCTTTTCTTCTGTCCCCTCCTGAGTGTTGGTGTTGGTGCCCCCTTGCCAGGCCTCCGACGAGCGTCGCTCCCCCGGGGGGGCCTCCCGCCGCGGCGCGCGCCTCCCCGGAGGGCCACCCCGCCGGGGGGGGGGGGGCGCACGCCGCGCTCGCCGCCTCGCGCGCCGAGGGCCTGCGGGGGCCGAGCGGCCGCCCCGCCCTCGCGGCCCGAGAGCCGTGGTGTGCCTTTCCGCGTTGGCCCCGTCGGGTAGTCTCAAGTCGGGCGTGTCCCCCATACAGGGGGATGCTCGACGGAGGAAAACAATGACCCCAGAATAGTCAAAAAAATAGTTTTGGGACTATGTTTTGAGCATGTGTTGGCAATTTGGGGGCATTTTTTGTTTGGGTATTTGTTGTTTTTCGCCCAAAATCCCCCTGTAGGGGGACACGCCCGACTTAGGGTAGTCAAGTCGGGGGCGGCAAAGAGGGGGGTGATGACTAGGAGGGGTGGAAGTCATGGCGGGGGCCATGATACTTCCTCAGAGTTTATGGCGCCTCTTCTTAGTTCACTGCGTCCCTGCCCCCCCCCCCCCCCCGGGCCGCGCACATGCCGCCGGCCATGATTTGCACCCCCCCCCTCTTGGACGCCCCCCTCTTGGCCGCTCCCGATCAAGCAGTGGCGAAGCGTCCTGGCGTGCCTGTAGTCCTACCAAAGAATGTTCCAAGAACCATTTGTGGTTTCCGCGAAGTGTTCTCAGAGCATGTCTGGCCGGGACTGTCTTGATTTAGCACATCGGGTTTATGCTTTAAGAACATTGTTGTGTTCTGAGAACATGTTTGGGTTCTACGAAAATGTCGTGGTAGGGCTATAGGAGTGCCGGGACGGTCGGTCCCTGTTCAAGTAGGGGATCGACTACAAGGCTGATTTGCCCCAATCTTGTTTTTTGTTCGTCGAGTGTACAGGCAACACATGCAATGCCAGTAGATCTGCGAGCATTCTTCGCGTTTTCGTACACTCTACGAACAGGACGATCTTGATGCAAACAAATTATGGAGTCGATCCCCTACTCGAGCTTTGATCACCAGGAAGAATTTCGAGCACCAAGGAAGCAACGAAACTGGAGGGATTTCACGTGTTGGGCCCTGGGAGGCGATACTCGTTCGTCACTGCTTCGATACTTTTTTGGGTGATCGAGACTATTTCTGGGATGTGTTATTTAAGTACGATGGGGGCAACACAACTCGAGAGACGGGGGTCAGTGCAATCGGGGATCGGTCTTCAGTCGGGCAGGTCCCTCCACAAGGGAAATATTCAAGAACAGTCCAAGGATAATCAGGGGACGATTTCCTGACTATCCTGGACCAGTTTTGAATATTTTTCGACCATGCTCTATTTTCGCTCCAGAATCCGCCTGTAGGTGGACATGCCCGACCTAAGGTTAGTCAGAGCGCTGGATCTTGCAGGATCCTACAGGGCCAGGGGCGCACTGGACCGGGTTTGGGTGCATGATCCTTGCAAGATCTTGCGAGGATCCTGCAAGGCTCGACTGGCCCGTGTCTGGATTGAACCGGGTGAGAAGATCCACGACTCCAAGGGGGCGGCGCAGGGGGCGCAAGGCCGCGGAGACGACGGGGCGTCGCGCATCGTTGGGCGACCTTCAGAAGAGAAGAAGGTACCAATACCGCTACCCGTCGCCCGTTTCGGGCGGGTGGCAATGGGGGTGACCCAAATTGGGGGTGAAGAATAAGGCCCTAAAGGGACCCTTTTCTTCACCACCCATTTGGTTCACCCCCCATTACCACTTGCCCGACCGTTTCCCTATTCTTTTTGTCGGCCAGGCGCTCGTCGCCACCGCTGGCTTCGCCCTGAGAGAGGTCCGGGGAGCAGCGGTGTCGGTTCCTTCTGGTTTCCCAGACCTGCAGTCCTTCCCAAAGGCACCCTTACATCCTTGACCCTGAGGCCCATCCTCAGCGACTTTAGCTGGCCAGCCTCGTTCAGAAAACGTTCGCTCGGGCCTCTAAGGCCCTTGCATCCTTTCGGATACAGCTGAGGACAGTCTACAAGAAACCTTCCACAAGAAACCCAACCCTGAGACCCCAGGACGTCCCCCCGATTTTTGGTGTCAGCGCCACGCTTTCCATAGCGAAACCATCGAAACCCACCAAACCGGGGGCACCCTGGAGGCAAGCAGGGTGCTTCTTGGCATGGGCCCCCCCCTGTACGGGTTGGCCGCGTCGGAAGCGTTGGGGCCGCCCTGGGCCGGGGCCGCGCCTGGCAACGCCCGGAGCGTGGTCGGCTCGGTCAGGAACGCGCAGAAGGCCCTGGCTGCCGGCGCGGACACCGCTGGCTGACCCACAAGGGGGTCCAGCGACAAGGGGGTGGTGCAATAGATTCAGGAGGGGGGAAAACACAAAGACACAATTAATCGTCGATTCCCAGGAAAATATGGGAAAATATGGGAAGTGGGGGGAGTACAGCAACCCAGGAAATATGGGAAAATATGTGGAACATGTTTATTTTGTGTGTATTCATTTGTATGTCCTGGGGCCCCTTCATAGATGTGGTGCCATAGCTTATGATTCCCAGACAGGATCGCGTCGTAAAAGAGTCCGGGCGGGAGATGTTCGATATGTTTTGCCATCTTCGGCCTCGGGGGGGCCTCCGCCTGGCCTCGGGACAGTCAAGAAGCGACTTTCGGAAGTGGACAGACCTCCTACCCTGACCCGTCGATTAAGGAATTGGCCGTTTTCGGTTCGCGAGAGGGCGTCGCGGCCGTCATTTTTGCGGGTCCAGGTCCGTCGGTTTCGGTCCCAGGCCGTTTCCAGTAAGGAGATGTTTACTAAAGGGAGGTTTGTCCACCCCCGAGACTTGGGACGAAACACCGGCTCCGGGGAACGGGTCGGGACTTCAGGGACGCGAGAAGGTCAGGACGTCGCATGTTTGGGTTAACCTGTGGGGTTGTGATAGATCTGGGGCGTGCAGTACATTCCGGTGCGCAGATGTATCGCTGGGCTTGCATGCAACCCAATTTTCTAGCGCAGTGCATCTGCAATACAATTGCCCCAAACCTATCGTCCCACCCACAATTCAGCTGGACCCCGTTTGGGGTCAGCCAGAACTTCCTGATCGCACAGGGTAGCGAGGGCGGCGGGCACACTGGCGACGTGGGGACCATGGCGCTCATCCCGCAGGTCGTCGACGTCTGCAGAGGTAGCGTCGGCCACTTCGGTGTGCCCGTTGTGCCCGTGGCTGCTGGCGGCATCTTCGATGGGCGCGGGCTATCAGAGGAGGAAAGGCTACCCATACCTCTACCCCTTCGCCGTTTTTCCGGTTTTTGGCCTCCTGGGCGGCCCTCGTCGACACCGCTGGATTCACCTCGAGCTCTTGGTCAGAACGCACCCCGGGGAGAGGTCCAGTGGAGTAGAGCGGCATCGCTGCCTTTTGGTCTCCCCAGGCTGGCTGCCTCACTGTCGCTCGGGGCTGCCGGCGTGTGGGTGGGAACCCGGTTCATCTGCGCGGAGGAGCCGCGGAGGGCCACTTCGTGCAGGGGCAGCAGCAGTTGGCCGTCGGGGGGGCCCCTCGTCGCCACGTCCGGGCGCTGCTCGGAGGACTTGCGCGTCTGGGCCCCGGGAGATGTCCGGTGACGGAATGACGAACGAGCAACACGCACCCACATCCATAGGTGGGACGGAACGGGCTATGGGTGCGTATTGTCGGATGGGGGTCCCCGCTCGAAAGGAAGCGCCCCCCAGGATCCGACAACCCGCACCCATGCCCACGGCCAGTCCTCCTCTCAGCGTTCCCCCTGTGGGTATTGGTGTGTGTTGTTCGTTCGTCACGGAATCTGAGCTGCCGTCGTCTCAACGCGCCCTGCTCCGAGAGGAGTCCGCTGCGCCGAAGGCGCACAAAGACAAGGTGCTCAAGGCCTCCAGCCTCGACACCATCCGGACGCTCGTGGTGTCCGGCAGGCCCATACGGCTCATCCCGAACGACTGGGTCAAGAGCTGGGAGAAAACTCCAGCGCGCATCCAGGAGCTCTGCGACAGTGGGGTAACCCCCCTCGAGCATGCGATGAAGGAGTCGCCCGACGACGCCGCGACGAGGCTGGCCGTCTTCGACGCCATAAACAGCCTGGCTGGCCAGGACCAGGGGCGCGCAAGAATGGGGCAGATGGGGGCGGGGGCAGCCTGCTGTTAAGTCGGGTCTGTCCCCCTACAGGAGGAATACTCAAAAACAGTCAACAAAAATAAGATGGAGACGATTTTCTGCGCATTTGTTTGATATATTTGGGCATGTCTTGACTTTTCCTGTTCTTCAAAAATCCCCCTGCAGGAGGGCATGCCCGACCTAAGCCTTCTGAGAGCACTCCTCGCGCGCCCTGGAGGGGTGGGCACCCAGCGCCGATCCGGGCAGTCCGCGCGGAGCCCCGGAAGTCCGTGCCCATGCCCAGCGGCGAGTCCAGGAGGGAAGTCGGAGGGGGGGCGGCAAAGGGGGGAGTGATGACTAGGGGGGGGTGGATACCATGGCGGGGGCCATGATACTTCCCCAGATTTCATGGCGCCTCTTCTTATTTCATGACGTCCCTGGCCCCCCCCGCTGGGCCGCGCACATGCCGCCGGTCATGATTTGCACCCCCCCCCTCTTGGACACCCCCCTCTTGGCCGCTCCCGAGTCGGAGGGGGCCGGCCGCTTCCAGGAGGCTCGGAAGGCCTCCGGCATCCCGAGAAGTGCTCCAGGCCTTCGCCGAAGAGACGCCTGGCATCGCTCGGACGTTTGCACTTTTCCTCGGCGAGGACCATCGAGGACCATCCTGGACCATCGAGCAACAAAACCAAGCACGCACGAGACCGAAAAGCGCACGGGAACTGGACGTGCCGAGCGACGGCAGGGACGCCCTCTGCTCAGGGGGCGCGAGGGCTCCCGAGGAGCCCGGGCCCCGCCGCTGCCCGAGAGGGCCCGCCGCCTCTCTCTCTCTCTCTCTCTCTCTGCGCCCCCTCGGGGCGCGCCGACGACGTGCAGCGCGACTGTTCTTCCGAGGGCGGGGCCGACCAGGTCGGCCCCGTCCTCGTGCCCCTCCCCCCGGAAGCCTCCCCCTGCCCTCCCCTCGGGGGACTCGAGACGGGGGTCAGTGCAGACGGGGGTCAGCCAGGGCGCCGGATCCTGCAGGATCCTGCGTTAAGGCCCCCTCGGGCTGACCCGAGATGGAGGGAGCCGCTCGTGGCCGCGAGGCGGCCGCGCGTATTGGCTGACCCGGGTTTTGCGAGGACCTGCGTTGCAGTTTTTTTTTTTTTTTTCCTGCATTGCAGTTTTTGGTTTCCTGCTGACCCGGGTCTGGATTGACCCCGCTCAGAGGATCCCCGATCCCCTGGGACAATCGGGGAGAAAGTCTAGGGAAAATCGTAAAGCAACAGCAGCAATTGGAAGACAGGTCGTGGCTGTGAGTTGTCGCGCCCGCAGTGGAGATACTCGCCCTCCCCGGAAGCCTCCCCGCCCTCACGGGCGGCGTCCTTCTCGCCCCCGCGCCCTCCTCCCCCGGCGGCACCGCCCTCCAGGCGGCGGGCGGCGTGCAGACCATCGAGCCCGCCAGGAAGATCGTCGAGGACATGGTCGCCGAGGCCGTGGGCATGATCCGGGGCAGCGCGGGCATGCTGTCCCGCCTGTGAGCCGGGCTTTCCAGGGCAGCGACAGAGGTCAAGCAGTGGCGAAGAGTCTTGGCTCGCCTATAGCCCTACCAAACAATGTTCTAAGAACTGTTTGTGGTTTCCACGAAATGTTCTTAGAACATTTCTGGCTGGGACTGTCTTGATTTATCACATCGGGTTTATGTGCTAAGAACATTGTTTATGTTATTAGAACATTTGTGGGTTCTAAGAACACTTCGTGGTAGGACTATAGGAATACCGGGACGGTCGGTACCTGCTCAAAGGGGGGGCTGGTCTCAGGGTTCAGTCAGGCATGTCCTTCCACCGGAAGTCAAAAAATAGTTTGGGGACGACCTGTCGGCTCTTCTTCCAACTGTTTTGGAGCATTTTCTGGTTATTTTGTTTTGGTGATCCTCCAGAGTCCGCCTGTGGGAGGACACGCCCGACCTCGGCTCAGGGGGGGGAGCGCATCGACCCCCACCAGCGCCCGCGGATCGTCGATGAGGGCCTGGGGGTCCCACCCCGCCCAGGAAAGTGCAGAGTCACGGCAGTCGGACCGAGGTGTGAGGCCGAGGTCGGTGCGGGGAGTGTGCAGTGCCGTTTTTGATACATGCTCCGCGTGCGGATCATGTATTAAACATGCATGCGACGAGTTCATACATGGATTTATTCATACATTCATCATGCATTGCAAATCCTATATGTTTGAACATCCTACGTATTTTAAAACTGCCCCGTACCCTAGTGTTCCTCGTGTTTGTCGGATGTTCTTGTGCATCCTGGGAATGGTATACCCTTGGCTGTTCTGTGTGTTTTGGGCGACGGAGGGTCTCATGGTCTTGACGGATGTTCTTCTGGCCTAGGTCCGACTGCAGCGAGGGCCTATCGCGCGATCCATCGGCAACGTATTACCAATTCCATCAGGAGGGGAACAACACACAGACACAAATAATTTTCAAATCCCAGGAAGATATGGGAAACTACGGGAAGTGAGGGGAAGACGAGCATCCAGAAAATATTGAACCAGATAGGGAATCTTGGGAGTTGCGCTTGTTCCATTCATTTGTGGGTCCCTGGACCCCTTCATTCCAGGTCGTCGTGGCCTGCCCTGAGCCAGCCCCCCCTTTATCGTTCGAAGAAGAGCAAGCGCCATAAACATAAACTTTTGGCGCTCCGCGCGGATCTCTTGGATCCGCGCCAGGCCCCCCCCCCTGGCAGCGCTTCCGGCGCTGCCCCTGGCGCGCTCCGCGCGCCGGGAGGGGGGTCTGGCGCAGACCCGAGAACTCCGCGCCGATCGCCAGCAGTTTATGCTCATGGCGTTTTCACTGCTTCTGTGATTGTGGCCCCTCCGCAGCGGCGGGCGGCCCGCGGGCCACGCACCCCCCCCCCCTCCCCGTGTGGGCCCCGGGAGGCGGCAGGGCAGCTGCTCTCTGGCCGCTGGCGCCTGGCGCCCGCGCCTTGGCACCGCGTGCCATTTTTTCTCGGCGAGGGCCATCGAGAGGCATCCTGGATTTAAGTCGAGCGCGTCCCTCTACAGGAGGAATATTCAGGAATAGTAGAAAATAGTCTGGGTACGATTTTTCTATCATTTTCTCTATCTTGGAGTATTTTTGGTGTATTGTTTAATGCTTCGTTCAAAATCCCCCTGTAGGAGGACATGGCAGACCTCACCCTGGATCATCCCTCCCAAAAATCAAGCGCACGAAGCCGAAACATGCACGTGGAATGGACGTCCGAGCGCTTGCGAGGCGTGCGGGGACGCCGACCCAACGGCGCACCGGAGGGACCCGACGGCGCAGGGATCTGGGCTCAAGAGACGGGGGTCAATGCAAACGGGAGGTCAGCCGGAGCGACGGATCTTGCAGGATCTTGCAGAGCCAGGGTCGCACTGACCCGGGTTTGGGTGCAGGATGCCGCAGGATCTTGCAGGATCTTGCAAGATGCTGCAACGCTTGACTGACCTGGGCTTGCATTGACCCGGGTCAGGAGGTCCCCGAAGGGATCGCAATTGAGCCTTGAGCCAGGAGAAAGACGGCGACGGAACTGGAAACAGGTACTCGCGACGGGGCAAGCAAGTCATCGTTGTTTGATTCATTGTCTTGCCGATCGGCGCGGGCCCTCGCACCTCCCCCCTGCCCCGCCCCAGTGGAGCAGATTTTGGTTGTCTTTGGCGCCTGTTTCAAGCAGGTAGAGTCGGGGCTGGACAGAACCCCCAACAGTGACACGTCGATTAGTGAATTGTCCGTTTTCGGTTCTCGAGAGGGCGCCGTGGCCGTTACTTTCCAGTCCTGCGCCCGCCAGGTTTGGGCCTCAGGTCGTTTTCACTAAACCACGTTTTACTAAAGGGAGGTCTGTCCATCCCCGATAGAGTCGCACCCCAGAGGACGCACGGTTCCAAACAGTGGCCTTAAGCAGAGGTCCCGTTCCCGAGCCAGACCCCCCCCTTCCCCCCCTTCCGCCCAGCGTCGAAACGCCGAAAAAGAAACGCTCACCAACAGGGAGCATGACCGACTGCACGTAAGAGTGACACGTCGCCGGACTCTACAGAAGGACTATCCCAGAATACGATTAACAAACAAATAGTCTGGGGACGATGTCGTTTCATGTTTTGGGATGATTTGGGAGTGTGTTCTGAGTGTGTTTGATCTGTCCTCCAAAATCCGCCTGTCGGGGGACATGCCCGAGCTCAGCCTAGGGCTACCCTTACGCGCAGTCGAGGGCTAGACCAGCCAGAAAGCGCCTTGTCGCTTCCAGGGCCCATTCACTCAGCCTCCTCCCTCCCCTCCCTCCTTCCTTCCCAAACTATTCCCTCTCCCTCCTCACCTCCTCCTCCTCCCCGCGCGTACGTTACCTTCCATTCTAACGGTTGCCCCCCCCTTCACCTTCGGGTGGTTGGTCAACCACACCCCATCGGCACGCAGCGTCGTGTGTTGGGCAGTCTTCGGCACGCGGTCGTTGCCCGTGGCGGGTGGTCGATTCGCGCTGCGGGGGTGGCGACCCCCCAAAGCGCTTGTCACGAAACTCGAAGCATCTCACCCCCCCTACCCCTCCCCCCTCCCTTTTTCAGGGGAGGAGAAGATAACTACCGATGCCGCTGCTCGTTCTGGAGAGCCCTCGTCGCCACGGCTGGATTCGCCTCGGATTCCTGGTCAGAATTCGCCCCAGGAGAGGTCCCAGGCCTGGCAGCAGAAGTTTTGTTGCGCTACCTCCCCCTCCCTCCTCCTACCCTCTCCCCTCCTGCCCCTCCCCCATTGCCCCTCCTCCACTCCTCCCCCCTCCCTTTCCCTTCTCCCCCTCCTCCTCCCTCTCCCCCTCCCCTCCCTCCCCCCCTCCCCCCCCCCTCCTCCTCCTCCTCCTCCTCCTCCTCCTCCTCCTCCTCCCCTCCTCCTCCTCCTCCTCCTCCTCCTCCTCCTCCTCCTCCTCCTCCTCCTCCTGCTGCTCCTCCTCCTCCTCCTCCTCCTCCTCCTCCTCTCCTCCTCCCCCCCCCCCCGCCTCCTCCTCCTCCTCCTCTCCTGTTTCTCCTCCTCCTCCTCCTCCTCCTCCCTCCTCCCTCCACCTCCTCCTCCTCCTCCTCCACCTCCTCCTCCTCCTCCTCCTCCTTCTCCTCCTCCTCCTCCCTCAAGCCATCTGGGCACGAGCGCAAGACCTTCGCCCCGACGAAGGCCCGCGTTCTTGTCCGATCCCAGTGCCTTCACGAGGCGCTTGAGGAATATCTCAGACCTGTCTCCCCCCCCACATTCAGTCTGAGATAACGAGAGCTGGGATAAATTCGTAGCAGCCATGGGAAGGCCGCAGCAGACAAAGCGACCCCATCGGGCGTGGCCCAGATGTAATCATTGCCAGACATGCGAGTACAACGATCGCTTTCTGATGAACAACAATCGGTGTGCAACCTGCACGCACAAAGTTCGCAGTTTCGTCCCAAGGTCAGGGCGGTCACGGTCCCCCAGTCAGGATCGACGTGTGCATTTCGAGGATGAGGATGCTCCCAATACACCACGCGGGTCTCGACGTGGGAGCAAAGGCGGGAGCAAGAGCAAACAGCAGCAGGAGGTCGAAGCCATGCTCGACCAGGCGATGGCCATGAGCGCTGACGCCGAGCTCACCGCCGTGCTGAAGGCGCAGAAGCAGCGCATCAACAGCATGACATCCCAGACGGCTTCCGGCGTCGACCAGGTCAAGCGGGCTGACGGAGCGCTCGAAGGGGCGGCCAACAGGCACGGCCAGCTCGTCGAGCAGGTGATCCGCCTGCGGCGACAGCTGGCAACGGCGGAGAAGAAAGAGCAGGAGGCGGCGCTGGAGTTGGCCAAGTGCGAGAGCACCAAGCGCGCAGCCACTGCCGCCCTCGCCAAGGCTGAGGGTTTCCGACCTACGGCCAAGGGCGACGGCACCGAGCCCACATGTTTCGGGCTCAACATGAACGAAGAGCTGTTCGCGTCCTTCGAGGAGTGGGATTGTGACGAAGGCGAGAAGGCCAAGTTGAGGGCCCCAGAAGAGGAACCCGAGGGCTACCGCAACACCACCAAGGATAATAATGCGCAGTGGAGTGAGTTCGTGGACCGAGTCAAGAGCGAGCAGAAGGCCGTGCAGGAGCGGATGACCAAGAAGAGGCGCAGCGGCGAAGGCGGTGACGCCGCTCCAGCCGAAGGCCAGTCGGTACCAGTTGCCACGGCCAGCAGCGCTGAGGCAGCAGCCCCGTCCGTGGAGGAGGAGGCGGCCCTCAAGCGCGAGGCCGAGCGGCTGTCCAAGGCCCGTTTCGAGGCGAAGGAGGCCGCGGTTCACGACAAGGATGCGATTCAGCAAGCACGTGATGACGACCCAGTTGCTGGAACTCCGAGGGCGAGTTCGTGACTAGGGTCTGCAGAGTCAATTACAACGGCGACTCCGACGTCGCCAACCGGGAGCACCAGTACATCGAGTACTGGAACTACAGCGGGTCCTGGCAGCAGTGCGTCCACGGCGACTACCACTGCAGCCACTTCGGGTACTGGCAGCAGCGAGTCCTCAGCAGCGACTCATCC